TGATAAAGCAGTACAAGGGAAGATGTAGCCCACCTTGTTGACATGGAGCCGCATACAAATTCAAACTTCCTAAACCACTTAACCCTGCTCAAAAGCAAAAGAAAACCAAGAGACAAACTCTTAATATTACAGGTAAACCATGAGAAAAAATGTATGTAAAATAATGTTTTCGGTATTAAATAGCTTTATATTTAATACTTTTTATGTATAATTGGAGTGACTCTCGTATCTGATAAGACATTTTTCAGAACTTTGCATTGATCAATTCAAAATGTTTCAATAAAGTACTAAATGGTTGATCGGTAAAGTCTCCTACTGGTTATAGTGGAGAGTTGAGATCAAATCCCAAACTGCACCTAAATTGGGGGATTATGGTGTTGAGGATGGGCTACCCCTATTCTGTAGCCTTATGAAACAAGAACAAACAAGCAAACTCAAAAATGGTTCAGACAGAAACAGCAATGGTAGCAAAGACAATAACCAAGGCTTGAAATGCAAAGCTATAAATTGGGTTGCCTGACATGAAAATTTAAACTACATTGGACTCAGGTTAGAGTTCGGGCACGAGCAGATGTTCCCTCTTGTGCGCCATGGTGTACAGTATATCAACCATTTTAATTCTGCACAGAATTAACTCTCTGAAAGTTGCTTAAGCACAAAATGAGCAACCCATATGCCATTGTTAATTTATTTCTAGTAGAGTCACGGGTTTAGGGGATTTCTGTGAAAAATGCCACAAACATACTTTAGGAACTGGTCTCGACAATGAATTTATTGAAAGAGAAAACTGATGATGAAGAAGAGTTGATGAGAATAACACACAAAACGAGAAAATGTCTCTTAGATACCATTACTTTATGCATTTCTTTGCTAATCCTTCTTGGTAAACCAGCCCCTGTCATTGATTTCTTGGGGTCTTCCCAGTGTTTGCTGATACAAGAAATAATTGCAGCTTATGTCTCTAAAGATAAAGACTGGTGGTATTTTATTATGTTATTTAATTTGGTAAACTTCGAAACTTTTCTTTGATTTTGAGGTGGCTGTATCTGCTTTAATTAATTAAGAGGTACAAAGAGACTGTAGATGATGTTTTGTCTTTATTTTGAAATGGGTTTGTGTTTGACAAAGTGGAAATAATTTTTAATGAAAGAGAATCACTGTTGGATGTTTATGAGAGTTGTGATAGATTACCTACTGGTTGTATTCTTGAAACTAAGCCTATGTATAGATTTGATGATGAGCTATTAATGTAAGGATCTCAGTACCTCAATACCCACATGCTTCCCTATGATACAGACAAAACAAAAGAAGGGATTATTGCAAATCAATCCATTTGATGGGGTTATCTCATTACTAAGTTTGGAAGCATTATGAGTTAATTTATTCTAAAGCTGCTAATTGATCAACTTGTGTGATGGACGACCCTAGAATTCAAAAAAAACAAAAAACAAAAAAAAAACAAAAAGAAAAAGCTATTATTGTCTTGTATAATAGTGATCAAGAAATCAGAAATGTATTCAACTTGGGAGTAGCATTAGTCTTCTTGAGCAGCATTTGGGATCATACGAATGAAATAATATTCAAACGGAAAGACCCAAACCTTCTGAATATTGCTTTGATAGCTGACCAATATGTACTCTGCATTGATGGATCATTCTATGATCAGATTTATCAGCAACAGATCTTCAAGAATAATCTCTCCTCTTATTGGTTTTTATACACCACTCATTCTCTAACTATAGTGGATGAAGCTTGGGATGTTCACACACTTGGCCTCTATAAGTCTTTATTTGTTGTCTTACTCCCACAATATTTGCATTGTAGAAGGAGAATCATGCCAGGCAACTAACTCCATAGAAGTTGAGCTATGGATAGTCATCCATGGTCCAAGAAGGCTACTCATTCTGGGTATCCAAAAGGCAATCCTCATTTCTGATGCGAAAGGAATTTTGGAAAAGCTAAAACGAAGCATTGAAAACACCAACTGGAATGAACAACTCTATTGGATCATGCACAACATCTTCTTACTCTTTTTGTTTATATAAATATACTATATGTAAATAGGAAAGATGTAAATATTGCTCATCGACTATCTAAGAAAGTGGCTGTAATAAGATATAAGGTTTCTACTACTAACATACCCCCCTTATCTTCTGATCAAACTATTGTAAAAGGGGTTACTTTTGTATCCTCAATAGTGAATCCTTTTACCTATAAAAAAATAAAAGGGAAATTGTCTAAAACTCACCCTGAGTTTTCAGCATTTCTCTTAAACTCACAACTTTTCAAAATGTCTAAAACTCACCATGTCATTAACTTGACGTTAAAAAAACTAACAGGTGTTAATATATTACCATTTTAACCTTCATAGAAAAATATAAAATATATACATATATTTTAATAATTAGATATGAAAAACAGGAAAAAGTTCAAAAAAATATTTTCAAATATAAAATACATAAAAACACAAAAAATTCAAAAATTATAAAAATTGCAAATAAAATAAAAATTTATTTTCAAATTATAGAAACTCTAGAAATTGAAAAACAAAATCAGAAAATAAAAATTGTAGAAAAACACCAAAAATTATAGAAAAACACAGAAATTGCAAATAAATAACAAAAGATACAGGAAAAATTAGAGATTGTAGAAAATAGAAAAATGTAAAAAAAACAGAAATTATAAAAAAACATTGAAATTATAACAAAACACTAAAAATGCAAAAAAAATGAAAATTGAAAAATGGAAAAGACCCATTTTCTCTAACTCACCATCAAAGGGTAATTTGTTCATGAAAATTGTTATTTATACTGATGTGGACACCTCTGTTAAGAAGCATTAACAGTAGACTACTAGAAGATGAATTTTGGAAAACAAAAACTTATTGACGTGGTGAGTTTTAGATATTTTGAAAAATTGTGGTGAATTTAAGAGAAATGCTGAATGCTAAAAACTTATGGTGAGTTTTAGGTGAATTTTAGACAATTTTCCAAAATAAAATAAAAAATACTTGGAAATAGTATTAATATATATATATTATTAATCGTTAATCGTTGCAGTCACTTTATATGAACACCACCAGTAATCATCAGTGAGGAAGACTTGAGAGAGTGAATTATTCTAATATGCCAAGTGTTAGCATAAATGGATACTATTGCACAGAAAGGAGTTGGTGGTTGAACTGTTCGGATCATGAACCAGTCTCAGAGAAGGTTTAGGTCAATCCCAGGGTCGCTGTGGTGAAACCCTAGTCAAAGCCTCATTCCTTTACGTAAAAGAAAAATTTATAGTAAAAGATTAAAATAAGACCATTTCCGCCATCTGGGTTCTTCAGTCCGCCTGGGTGGGTGGGGGTAGACTTGATATGAGCCTAACCTTTGGCTTTTTTTTTTTTCTTTTTTTCAGATTCGAACCCGCTGCATTCTCACACTTTTTTTTTATTTATTAAATAATATAAGCCTCCGTTTAATAGCTTTTGCATGCATTTTCTTTGGTTTTTTTTTTCTTTATTTTCTTTTCATGATTTTGGAGGTAGAACTACTGAACCGTATGTGAACTCAAGACCCAAATATTGGTTCAACATCCACTTGGATCGATTTTCAACACTTTTTGGTTTGAATACAAAGGATGAGTTCAACATTATCTTCCACCGTGCAAATAATTACAGTAAAAGCACCCATAGTTTCGAATAGTATCATTGTCCCAAGATCCTTAATTAATAATTTTGGTTTTATTAATCTACTATATGGAAGTTAACACCAATTCAAATGTAATGAAAAGTATGTATATGATCATTTAATTTTATATATGGATCTTGTAGCCCTAAGCTAGCCCAATTAAGATATATATTTCCAATATATAGAACACATGCTTATTTATTCATAAGATTAAGATGTCTCCGTCTAAAAAATTCTATGTAAGAAAAATACCATTTCTAGATTCAACAATTGTATGAAGAAATAGAATCTGGTACTTATGCAGAAAAATATAGAGTTGTAAGGCACATCAAAGTCTGATGGTTGAGAAGAATACTATGATTCATTAAAATATTATTAGAAAAGGGAAGGAGTGACACACCAAAATCCATGGCTGAGTAAAAAAAAAAATCTCATCCTCTAATGGATCAGTCATCAGTGTTATCCTATGTCAGCTGTGGAAATGAGGGCAAGAGAGATGAGTGATGGTTGGAAAATGGCAAAATTAAAAGGGGGTAAAAGTGCATATTTGAAGAAAAATGGTGACTCTATACACGTGGCTACATGCCAAAACTTATAGAGAATTTTGACAAATTAGCTTAATTAGGAGTTGGAGAGAGAGAGAGATGTAATTCTCGGGACCAATTACAAATATCCTAACCCACCCTAAACATGTGTTGTCGGCAAGCAGTGGATAACTTTTTATTTCAAAACTCGTTGATAAGGGAAGAGGAGAAAATCCAATAATACCTTCACGGTTCATAGAGGTGGTAGTGAACATTGAAGTTCTTCACATAAGAAGAAGTGAGAAAATACTGATATTTCCTAATTATTCTACGTTACTTTAAGCTCTACCACCACTTCTACAACTCTCGCCCCACACAGAAGTAGGATATCCACCATCTACTTTGATCAATCGATTTATCCGAGAGGAAATTCTTAAATTATCTGAAATCGTTGATTTATTATTAAGCAGGGAATCTCTTATATATGTGTGGGACCCGGACAAATGGCCAGTCAGGACTCAGGAGGCCAGGCCATTCTAATCTATGACGTACCAGCGCCCTCATTGCAGCAGTGCTTTTTATGTTCCCTTCAAGGCTTCAACTGGACCATTGCCGCAGTGTTAATATTCTCTGCTCTGAGAAGTTTTTCAACTTTCCCATTGATCCACTCCCAATCTTGAAAACTGCCAAGAATAAAAGAGTTATGAATGTTCTAGGTTTATTGTATTCTTTCGCAACCCCAACTCTCTCTCTCTCTCTCTCTCTCTGAAAGGACATTAGGAAAGTGAGGGAGAAAGAAAGAAAAAGAAAGCCTCAAAAAAAGACAAACCGGATTGAACCACCATTCATATATGAACCATGAGTCCATGCTTTCCCACTAAGACTCTTGAATCCACTTATCAGTCTTGAATATAACCATCTAAGGACAGAGATCAAGAGCCCTTGAGAAGATGGGCGGAAGGAACTACCATGCAGATAGTAGGGGTTTCTGCTTTCAAGCACCACCAACCTTCATTGAGTGGCTCAAGCCTTCAGCTCCTCCTTCCTCCTCATCTTCTTCATCAATTACTCAGCAAGCGCAACCTCAATACACAAATCTCATGAGCCGCTTACAACTACCTGTCTTCTATCACCAACAACAGCAACAACTCCTTCCCCAAAACACCCAGTGCCTACCTCTTCTAAGCAGGTTTTCTGAGTCTAAATCCCTGAAAGAAGAGGAGAATGAGCTGAAAAGGGAGAGTTTAGATATTAAAGATGAGAAGCTGGAGAAGGTTACTGTGGCTTTGCACATCGGACTGCCCAACACAAGAGATTCTGATGATGAGATCAAACCCTTAGATTATATGAAGGAAGACAATTCCATGAAGAAAAATATTGAAGATAGTAGTGCATCAAGCACTGAGACTAGGTTCTGGATCCCCACACCGACACAGATCCTTATTGGGCCAACCCAGTTCGCTTGCTCCATATGCAACAAGACTTTCAATAGGTACAATAACATGCAGGTCTGTATTTCCTCTCCATGACTTAGAATTATATTAGTCCTTTTTCTTTTTTTTCTGTTCCAAATTATTCATGGCCATAAAGGATGTATGTGTTTAGAATAAATCTTTTTAACAGGAAAAACACTGGAAGTTACATTAGTTCTTTCTTTTCTTTTCTTTTTCTTGGGGAATGATTAACTAGTTCTCTTTAGAAGCAAGAGAGACATTATCTTTTCGATGCTTTGTTTGCTTTTTTTTTCAGGGAATTCCTTATCCTTTTCCATGTTTCTCCATTTAAAATTTTGTTAACTAGCTTCTGTGTTACCATTTGTTCTGTGCTAATTGGTATTCTGGACTAAATCTAGTTTGGGTTACTCAACATGAGAGGGGGGGGGGAGAGAGAGAGAGAGAGAATACAGAGAGCATAACAAATATTAATATGTACAGAAGAAATCCACAAAATTCGAAACCGTATATGTACATGTGATCAAATGCCCAGAACTAAGCACGTGGATTTTGGGACTATGCAGATATGAGCTCAAATCGAGAAAAGGAATATACAGATATGAGAGTTACGCATCCACCAAACTCAAACCCGTACTACATAAAAAGCGAGAGGCTACTGAACTATTCTCATGGCTATCTGATGGGCCACTCGTTGTTATAAACCATACAATTAATCTGTCGGCAATCTCTGTGATATGGGCCACTGCACTGATCATAAGCATAGAACAAGTTGCATTTTCTTAGAATAGTTTACATACTGCTTCTCTACCACTCAAAGAAAGCAGGCTCTTTTAGAATCATTCAGTCTCATTGGTTTCAGTATGTCATTGTCGGTATTGCTAATAATACGTCCTATTTATTCGTTTTTGTTGTATGTAATCTTCACTCTGAGAGGATTGACAGTTGGACTGACTAAGACCTACTTACTGTAATCTGGTCAAGAGATACTGTCTTAAAAAAAGCTAAATAATAAGGTTTGCAATGAATATGATTTGTGTGAATATAATCTGAAATGTATTGAAGTTTGTGGAAAATTAAGCTCTCCCCAATAGATAGGAAATTTCAAGGTATTGTTAGGGGTGCAAATCGGGTCAGGTCAGGTCAGGTTGAAGGCTTGAGGCCAACCCCTAACCCAACCCGAAGTTTGACTTCTGGTTGGGCTGGGTTTAGGTTGGACCCAGTTTGACCTTTCCTCCATCCTCTTAAAAATCTCATAAAATCTCTGAAATTCTTTAAGTCTTTGATTAAGAGAGACCTAAAACAGATTTAATGAATATATATTGACCATATTTGTTACTAGAATTTGCTTGTATGATGTACTATTGGTTCTTTGATTAAGAATGCTTTAAATGATAAGTCTATTATCAATTTTGATAAATCTCCTATTAAAAATATAAAATCATGAAATCAGTGATAATAGAACATAAGTTATGGAATGAAAATCACTGATGACCACTAATAAGATCAAACGAATAATTTGATACATTGGCCATAATAACATATATGGTAAAGAAAATTAGAAGAAAACAAATTAAAGCAGACTAAATGAACAAGCACCTGCAAATAAATCAAAAAATCAATACATATAAATCCATAATTATATAGGCATTAGAGGCTTTGAATTAAGATAAATAAATTATGACAGCATGTAGTGGGACTATAGTACATTAATAATGGTATAGCCAGGTTTGAATTGGGTCAGATTGCCCGAGGGGTCAACCCTAATCCAACCCAAAGCAAAGTCAGTGTTGGAAAAAGTCAACTCTAACTCTAACCCAAATGCTAACCTGACCAGGGTTGGGTTTGGACTAACCCGGCCTAAGTTGCAGCCCTAAAGGTACTCTTCTTCCATTCCATTATCAGAATTGAACTTAACATGAAATTTACTAGTTTGCATTGTAATATGCTTCTCTAGTTTGGACTTATGTTATGCTAGAGTTCTATAACTTGTAGCAAAAATTTGTGAATTAAAATTATACTTTTTCAAATCTTCCTATACATCATAACCTTGTCTCTATTTCATTTTATTGGAAATTTTAATACAGATGCAATCTCATAAAAAATATTCTAGATGAGGAAGGTCAGATTGATTCTTCCACCATCCATATGAATTGTAGTCAGTATCTGTAATATAGAAAAAAAAAATAAACTACAAAATTGTGAAAATATTGTAGTATTTCTGCTCCTATTTATAAAAATTTTAATCACTATATATTGCCAAAATCAATTATATTTCTTGATATCCTGCTTATATATGCATATTACAAGCTAGGCTAATTAACTAATTAATTGTTTTAGAAATAATATTTATGTGTGAAGAAATTCTGGAGTGTATAGATGCATATGTGGGGGCATGGATCACAATATAGGAAAGGACCAGAATCACTTAAAGGAATACAACCAACAGCAATGTTAAGGCTTCCTTGCTATTGTTGTGTTCATGGCTGCAAGAACAACATCAACCATCCTCGAGCCAAGCCATTGAAAGATTTCAGAACTCTTCAAACACATTACAAGAGAAAGCATGGAGTGAAGCCATTTATGTGTAGAAAATGCAGCAAAACATTTGCAGTTAAGGGAGATTGGAGAACGCATGAGAAGAACTGTGGGAAGCGATGGTATTGCTCATGTGGGTCGGATTTCAAGCATAAGAGATCACTCAAAGACCACATAAAATCCTTTGGGAAGGGTCATTCTCCATACCCTTCTGAGGAAAATTTTGAAGATGAAAAAGAATGCATCACAGGGTCTGAAGATGAAGCGGGTTCATCAGGAAGAAATTTGTGATCGATCTCTTTGTTTCTCTAATTATTCTATTAGTAGTTATAATTAGCTAGGCCATAATTCAGTATATTGAGCTTGTCTAAGCTTGTGCTCAGTAACAAAAAACTCTCAATAAGTGTTAAATATATTCAGGAAGCACACAAGGAGAGAAGTTTGTTACGGAGCATAGGTGGGATGATAAGAAACAATTACTAATTTAGAGGGTACGGTTTTCTTAAGTGGTTCGTGATTAAAAGGAAATGGTTAATGTAAAACACAGTCTGGGAGTAGCTGAACTTTCTTCAGCCTCAAGATAGAATTTTTCTGCTTCATGGACTGTTAGTAATCTTAGCATGTAATAAATAAATGGTTTTTTCTTTCTTAAATACTATCATATTCACATGTTTGATTTAACATAATACTAGCTAGCATAATCATTAATTAATTTTATCAAATTTTCCTTAAGGCTCAGTTTGGAAAGAGTATAAATACAATATATATATATATATATATATGTATGTATGTATGTATGTGTGTACAGTATAAATATATACAAAGCAATACAAAATATAAGGTTTTGCACTCTACATATTTGTATTTATACTCTTTCCAAACTGAGTCTAAAGATCAATTTGGTTGCAGTGCAAATTTCATTACCTTGTATTAGTGTAAATACATGGGAGTGCAAATAGGCTGAGTATAAATTCTGGTTTGCTTTTGCTTCAGATTTGGCTTTGTCTTATTTATTTGTTATATAAGTAAAATAGAAAGTAAAATTATGTTGTCCCGACCTTATGTGCAAGAGAATGGAGATGGGAGGAGGGTTAAATGTCTAAGAGTGAGGTAGGAAGCTAGATGTTGTGGCTCCCCACTTTATATGAAAGATAATTAAGGTAGGTGGAAGGTTCACTTTTTGAGATAAAAATTTTACACTCTCATTGAGTGCAAATAAGACAAAAAGATATAAATTTTTGTATCAGATCATGATTACAAACAAGTAGATGCAAAACTGAACCGGGTGCAAAGTTTGCATCAAGAAATGATGGATTAACCAATTAATAAACCAAGTCCTCTCAAAATTGCAGCGCTTTGTGATGGCCATCAGTTTTTGATGAAGAAGATAATAATTAATCACTGTCATTTATTGGTTTAAGATCATGACCATGAAAGCATTCTGCTTTACAAAGCGCAATTTATGGTGCATGAAGCATGCATATATATTTGTTAAATATCAACTATATATGCTTACAGCAGAAATTGGATGCACTATGTATTAAAAAGTCATTTCAGAACCTTTTTTCTTTTCTTAAAGCCCTTTTTTTCTTTGATGATCAGTTCTAGCGTCCTTTTTCAAAGGCAGTAGAGAGCTTTTGTCATGGTCCAACTTGGAGGCCATATAATAAATCCACCACCACCCATTAATTGATTATAACAACAATTATGGTCTATAGATTGACAAGACTCTCTCTCTCTCTCTCTAAAAAAATTAGATACTGGGATGATGTGGACATGACAGGAACATAATGCATGTGACTAATCCAGCCAATCTTTCATAAGATGTGTGGTGATTCGGATTTTCCACATGTCATCATCAATAGCTTATAGCTTAGAAAGCTTCAGAGCAGTCACATATACAACAGAATATTAGCGCTCAGTTTAGAAAGACTATAAATACAAATATATGTATAGTACAAATAGATAAAAATAATAATACAAAATACCAGGTTTTGTATTCTACATATTTGTATTTGTATTCTTTTTAAACTAAGCCTCAATGTTCCTTGAGTCCGGCTTCAGTCAGAGCAAAATCTATTCGAATAACCTTTACAGCCTTGCATTAGGAATATCTTCCTACTTATGTGCTTTACTTCATGAGTAGATATTCCAATGCAAACAGTTACGAAAAGCTGTTGGAACGGTGTGAGCATGGACTTGCTCTGACTGAAGCCAAACTTGTGTTCCTTTAGACTATGGTTTGATAGAAAATAATAGAGCAACAGAAACTTGAGGGAAAGTTCTAAGGAAAAGTTATGAAATTCCTCAACTACTTTCTGTTTCTCTCTTAATTATTTTCCATCAAACCAAATATAGCCCTAAGGTTGATTTTCCTTTCTGAAATTATCATGGTAAATCTCTCCCTCAAGAATGTAAAAACTAAAGTGATAACCCATGTAGAAAGGTTGTGTAGTACACCAATGTTCTTCTTCTTTTCTTTGATCTTTGATGTTTTCTTTTTTTTCTCCTCATGTATCAATCAGAGTTAAATTGTATGTCCACAGAGAGATTCATTAAACACACACATAAAGAAAAAAAAGGATTCAAGTTCAGTGGATTAGGACCAACCATGCATAAACGCCCCACCCAAGAGATTAATTAGGCCAAAATCATTCTAAACACTTGATCCTAATTAACTATGCATTTTTATTGTATCCATTTTAACCATGTAACCCAAAAAATATAAAAAATCCAAAAATACCCATAGAAAACCATATATCCAGAAATTGTGCTGAATTTCAATAGAGGCAATATCTGCGGGCCCATGAAGATACGGATCTTAATGTACAGGTCATGAATATATGGAAAATTATAGGAGCTCAAACTGCTTTTATACATAATATTTAGTCTAGACCTATTGATTTAGATACAAATTTAGGGGAGGTGACCTTTCTATTCTGTCGGTTGAGGCATGACAGATTTTTCCCTTATCCTTTTCCTTCTTTTAATTCCCTCTCTCTCTCTCTCTGTGTTGATGATTGGAAATAGAAACAGTTAAAACCTCTTTCTCTCTTTTCAAGACAGTTGTTTATTTTCTCTATCCTACGGGCTCTCACCCATACAAAATACTAATTTACCACCTAGTACTCTAAAGAAAAACCACAGAGACAGATGTGGCAGGATAAAGAATAAATAGGAAAATAGAAAAACAAAAAGAAGAAGACAAGGAGCTGGAGCATTTCACATCTAGATTATAGAGAAGATATTGCCAAGCTGTGCTAGACTTAAAATTTGTGGGGAACCATGAACTTAATATATTAATAATCTTTTTATTTCTTTAATAAAAATCTCATTAAGATCTTGTTTCACTTTCACTTTCACATTAATTGTCGGTTTATTTTTTCCATTTTTAAGATACAGCTAATTGGGTACAATTTTTATAATATACTTTAGGTGTTCAATTCATTTTCTTTAAACAGATTTGGGTTCAAATAAAGAAAAAACAAGAATTTTGGTTGCAATCAGATACAACAAAATGACATGAGCCAATAAATATCCTGATTTCTGTCCTCAGACTCTTATATATGATGAGTTGATGGCATCTAATGAAACATTGCACGTGCACTTTACTAAGTATATATGATGGCATCCAATATAAAACAAAATTAATTATTCTTGGTTGGTAAATAACAAGACTCAAGTGAATGATCTAAGATAACATTGTAGCCATTGATTTTGTTGGAGGACCAGAACAACATTATAGCTCATAGAAAGTTTGGGTTACAAATCGGATGTAAAGCCATCCAGTCCAGTTGGTATACATGTCTTTTCCCCTTTTACTTCAACTACATGGTAGGTGAGGAGGATGAAGTCTCTTATAACTGCAAGACTAGACACTTCTCCCACCAACTTGCTAAAGAACCAAAAGCCACAGAGAGAGAGAGTGGTTTATTTTGAGTGGGCTTGAGTAGCTGAAAAGGTGGAGGAAAATCCCAAATGATGGATGTTGAAGTTGAGGGGAATCAAATAAAGGGTGTGGAAAAAGAGCCGTGATAGACCACCATGTTTTGTCGGGGAAAAAAGGTGCCAAGCCTTTCACATTTGTCCAACTTTTTTCATTTTTATAGGCCCAACTGCAAAATTCTTGATCCAGATCTTAGGGTGCCATTAAGCCTTGAGGAACTATGCCTATTTGGGAGTGCTTTCCATTCACGCAGCAGTTTCTGGCTTAACAAGGTGGGTTTATATGGAAAGCAGTGCTCGAACCGTCATTGACCTAGACGGTTGGGCCATTCAGCTCAGGAACTGTTGACGTGATCAGTGACCCACTGATTTGGGTGGTCAAACCATCAACCCGTCAACCCGTTCGACCTGGATAATGGTTTTTGACCGTTTTTATTTTAATGTTTTTTTATTTTTTTTAAATTGGAATGGACTATCCATTCAAACCAGAGGATCGAACCGCTGACCCAGAAACTGGTGGCTAAAATGGTTCCGATTTCAGGTTGGTTTTTAAAACGTTGATGGAAAGCCTAAAAGTTATGTTTGGTAAAAAAAAGTCCCAATATACTTTCATCCTGTCGTCATTCATTAAATCGATTTTCCGGTAAAGCCAACTTTGCTAGCAGCTAGCTTATTCAAAACAGTTGAGTGAAAGCTGCCGAAGCCCTCCCAAGTCCCAACCCAATTCCCAAACGAAGTCTTACGCTTCTCACTCCAGCTCCCTCAAAGCCAAAGCCAAGTGGGGATGGTAGAGATGGAGCCTAAAGAAAGTGTTTTTGACAGCCAATTCATGATATATATTCCCCGTTGGTGGGGTCTAGCTAGACTCTTAGAGCGTGGAATGAAAAGGAGCGTATATAGTCTCTCTGGCCACAAAATGGAGGTGTGGAAAAGAATGATGCATGAAATTGGTAGCACACATTGATTACTTGAAATGGAGACAAAGTGATATGTTTGGTTTGAAGGAAAAGGTAAGGAAAGGAAAGGAAGGGAAAGGTAGGGAAACCTATGTTTGTTTGGTTTGTATAAACTTCCCTACCTCTCCTTACTTTTTCCTTCAAACCACAGCCTAAGTAGCTTATACTTTAATCACTTTCCTTTGATTCGGGCCATGTAGCAAGAAAGTTCTCTAATGCCTTAGGCAAGTTCATTGCATGTAGCAATAGGAAATTATATAATGGCAATGGAATTCACCACCGTACCTCGTATACAAGGTTCAAAGTATCAATATGTATTGTATGTACCATAGCATATAATATATATCAATTTTCAGGGTCGTTGAGTTAGGAAATACATGGAGTTTGGGCTTTTTAATAATAATAATAATAATAATTTTCGTATGCTAAACTGAAAATGTAAAATATACAAGTATTTAAATACTTTGAACCTTGCCTACAAGGTGTAATGTCTATCAAGAAAATACTAGCTAGGAAATTAAAGAGGAGTTACTGGTAACAAGAAAGGCATTTATTTTCAACAGATATGATAGTTCTACCTTCTACGAGCCAAAACACTTGTGCATTTTGATTTTTAAAACCACTAAATTCTCTCAGGCACTGTTTGCTTTTTGATAAGTTATTTATCCGGGTAAATGCAGTTACCTAGGTAAATTTTTCTTGGGAAACACTTATTTGGGTAAATGCATTTACCCATATTCTTTTAT